AGGGACACAAATCAGCCAGAATTCGTGCTCCTCAACATTGAGCAGGAAAGAGCAGATTTATAGACAGCAGATGAGGAAGGGAATCAGGCAAACCCTACGCGTTCAAACAACATGCTGACTAAAGAGGTCCACTTGGGTGGGAGGCCAGAGGGCGATCAGCAGATTGAATTGGAACAAAACCCAATTCTTTGCCAGTTTTTAATAACTTTTTGAATGGGGAGGGGGGGCAGTGAAGACGTCTGTTTTGCTGCTCGTACTTTTGAAGAGAGAAAGCAGCTTAACAGAGTCGTGATCTGCATCAGAAATCAGTGCAAATTCCCATTGACCGATTCAGTGTTTCCAAGTGAGTAAAAATCATTACCTTTCGATGTTGTCGCTAATGCGATTCCAAAACGGGTGAGGCCTGAAACACAAGCACAAGCCAAGCGCTGAACTGTTAAACCTGGGCACACAGCGGAACAAGATCTCACTGTAGTAGCCACATTTTTATTTGGTTTGGCCTTATTGCAGAGCAAAAAAACAAGCAGGTTGCTAGTCTTTTGAGTCATTGTGTTTGACAGATGGCACTGCAGCTCAGGAAAGACAGTGTGAATTGTACGTCCTCCAAACTCTTCAATTGCCTTTTGTTTTCTTTACCAAAATAAATTGTTTCAGCTGCAGTTCCATATGAGTCTTTCAAAATGTTGCTGGACAATGTTTCCCACATGTGTAAAAACTCTGTTTCACTGTAGTTCTCTCTCTTTGCATTGTTTTCCTATCAATAATGGCAATATCTACTGATCTGTATCCTCTGTATTGCAATCTGCACCTCAGTATTACCCTTCTCCACCACTATAACCTGCATCACAAGCTCAAATAAATAAAGAATGTTTTTGTGCTTTATTCTTAAATGTTATGAGGTTTCTTATATTCAGAAATCTTTCCAATTCACCTCCTGTTGCTCCATTATATAATGGAGTAGGAGTTGGGAACATGGGAACCCACCCCCTCCTGATCACAACCCCCAGATTCAGAACAAGTATACGCAAACACTGTTTCAGTGAGCGAATGGGGAACCTGTGGAACAGGCTCCCGAGTGTTGATTCTTTCAAACAAAAATTAGATCGTTTTCTTTTAGGAAACAACATTACGGGATATAGGACACAGGGAGTTTGGGACACATGTGCGTGTGACCACCAGGAAGGTGGAAGGCAAATTAGATGGATCTTGGTCTTTTTTCCTCTTGCATTTCTTATGTTCTCATGTTATCTTCTCCTGAATGAATATTCACCAAATATTCCCAGAGGGAGAGAGAGAGAGAGAGAGAGCGAGGGAAAAGAGAAGGATTTTACCTGACTAAGCAGAAATATGAGATAAATTACTAATGGACAATAGCAATGATGCGAATGGAAACTTGGTTAAAAGAATGTTATTTGAAACCGGGGACAAAATTAAGTTACTAATATGCAGTGCAGAAGAAACAAAATCCTAAAGGTTGTATCATTTATTTTTCCATGGTATTTACCAGCCCGACCAATGTGATGTTTTGACATCAAATAGCCTTTACGATTCTGTACTTGAACAAAGCATTTTGATTCCAAGTTAATCTGATTTGAATAAGTCGCATGATATTGTTCATTGTCCTTTCGAACACAGGAAGCATTCACGAAAAGTATTTTGAACAGGAAGACCTTTAGACACGTAGGATTTTCCCTCTCTCCCTGATACATTGGGTTTCTGTCCGTTAAAGGAACATTTACACTTTTCAGGCTATATTACAAGCTTTCAATGTACAGTGGTGGCACCGCAGTCCAGTAGTTACACTAATTTGGGGTCTTAGCTCCTTGTTGCCAACCACATTCAATGGTATTTCATCCATAAATTCACTTTGTAGTATATTTTGTGAAGCGCTTTGAGACGCCTTGAAGACGTGATAAGGCGCTGTATCAAATGCAAGGACTATTATTATTATTTTGCACTTTTTGATGTGATGATTTTTTAATGCAGATTATTATTGTTTATAGGCACCACATCAAATGCAAGGATTTGTTATAACAGTTTGAACAGTGCACCAATTCGAGGTGGGACAGAGACGGATAAGGATAATTTAAGCAAGTTGACAGCCAGATCACAGTGAGACCTGAATGTCATTACCACAGTTCGCCCACTGCAGCCAGATCTCAATTGGGCTTTGTCGGGAACACAGCGGACGTTTTATGAGCAGACATTCCTTAGAAAGGTTACAAAGTGAAGCACGAAGCACAATGCAGTCACAGTGAATGCAACTGGTGGCCGGATTTCGCCCACAAAATATACAGTCAATTTCATTTACAGTGTATCCTGTGAAGCGCTTCGAGACGTCTCGAAGACGTGGTAAGGCGTTATATCAAATGCCAGGAATATTACTATTTATTATATCCCTGGGCGCAACTCACTGCGGGAAGAAGGAGCACTAATGAATAAAATTCAGAGATGCACATTTGGTTGAACAGCAATGTCATGTTCAGGAACGTGTGGAGGCTTGTTGCTTCTGAATAAATCAATGGAATGCTGTGTAATGAATGGGTTGCCAAATTAAAATAATAATAATAATTTGGTCACTCAATCCACGACTGTTTGTTGGACGCTGCTGTGTGCAATTGGCTGCAGTGATTCGTCACTACACTTTACAGTATATCCTGTGAAGCGCTTTGAGACGTCTCGAGGATATGATAAGACATCATATCAAATGCAAGGATGATTATTATCTATTATTTGATACCTCTATGTGCAGGAAATATCTTGTGAATCATTAATTGGCAGATGTGAACTCAGGAATGTCTCTGTATGAGTTAAGTGGGAGGTTGGAAGATTTATTTCTTGTTGAAAGAGTAAATATGTTGTCGCAAGTTGCTATTGAAGCTGAAACCATAATATTTAAAGAGGGATTGAATAAATATTTGAAGAAGAAGAATATAAAAGAACATTGGGAAAGAATAGGGTATTGGATTCGATAGCTCCAGTGGAAGACTGATCACCAGCATTGGCTCCATTGGCTGAAGGGCTTTCTCGCTCTGCAGTTTGTGGGATTCTGTGAAATTAAATATTGCAGAAGGTTTTAAAGTGACTAAATTTGGATCTTATTAAAGATGCATTGATAACCCAACAGCAAACAATACAATTTACATTTATAAAGCGCCTTTCACTTGAGGAAATCGTATTAAAGTGCTTGTCACTCCTAACTGGGCACCCGAGCCGAGGGTGTAGGTGTGAGGAGGGGAACGATGACTGTAATACTATAGCTCAGTGGTTAGAGCACTTGCCCCACAAGCGAGGGATCTGGGTTCGATTCCCGGGCAGCGCAAAACCTTAGCCAAGTTTCCTTACTCCACACGCCTCTGCTTACCCAGCAGTAAATAGGAACCCGCTTGTTAGTCGATTGACGGATCCCTTTTCCGGGGGTGATAATCCCTTCAAAAAAAAGATTTGGATCACTCAATCCACAACTGTTTGTGAGACACTGCTGTTGCGCAATTGACTGCCGCGTTCGCCCACAAAATATACCACAGAATGTACTGTGAAGTGCTTTGAGACGTCTTGTAGACGAGATAAGGAGCTGTACAAAATGCAAGGATTATTATTATTATTATTATTATAAAAAGGTAGGTCTTGAGATGAGCCTTAAACAAGGGGAGGGAGGAAACAAGTCCGAGTGACTCCGGGCTGGAGTTCCAGAGAGCGGGGGTGAGGGGTGGGGGGGGCAGACTGTTGGTCAGTTTAAGACTTTGCAGAACCACACAAGCCTGTGTTTGCTCATGTCTGGACCACTAGATGGAGTCCCTCTTTGTCGTAGAGTTCACCTGCACTGCAGTACAGTACAGGATGGATCTGATCAGATGATCGTAAAGTACTCTTGAGTACCGAAGCTCATTCAGTATCTCCATCCTCGGCTCTCCTCCCTGTCACCGTGGACCTGCAGTGGCAATCACGAGAGAATAATGGGACCGAAAGGTAAAGTTGTTTCAACTGATAGCTTCTCTTTTTCTAATTTGATTGATACGGTCCTTGTTTATTCACCCGAGGATGTGTGCAATTATCGACAGCAGAAACCCCTGGAGCAGGAACCTGCTGTGCTTTACATCTAAGCTCTCTCCTCCCCACCTCTGACAGACACACACACACAGACGCACACACCCCTACTCAGCAACTTAAAGAGAGGTTGGACAGACAGCAGGAGGTGAGAGAATAAATTCACTTCCTTAGGCTAAAACTGACATTGTCAGTGGAAGAATGTGGAGCTTTAATCACTGAATAAAGGATAGCATTTTGTCTGCAGGTTGGGGTGGGGTTAACCCAGCGGGTAAACAAGGCAAATAGACTTACCACTTTGATGAAGAACTTGCATTTTATGGTGCACGGACACATCTGAGCATTTCTAAGTGCCTTTTTGTTGCTGTGGGTGCGGTGCTCTGGGATGATATCCTGCGTGAGAGGCGCTATTTAAATGCAAGTTGTTGTCACGGTGAGTAGGTAGGAACCTGGTTGTTCCCGCATCGATTGGCGGATCACTTTTCCAGGGGGTAATAATCCCTTAAAAGAAAAAAAAACGGTCGCTCAATCCACGACTGTACGCGGGACTCTGCTGCGCGCCATTGGCTGCCGCGTTTCGCCCACAAAACATACAGTCACTACACTTTACAGTATGCTGGGTGAAGCGCTTTGAGACGTCTCGATAAGGCGCTGTATCAAATGCAAGGATTATTACTAGCATTATTAACATTATTGTGATCGGAGGGCAGACAGGGTTGTGTTCGCCCTGCTCTGATCTTGGGAAAACCTCAGTGGGGGAGTGGGGTGGGGGGGGAAGGAAGGAGAGGGCTGAGAGTTTGGGAGAGCATTTATGGACAGTGTCCCAAGTAGTAGCGTCACCACCAGGCGGGGCTCCCAGCTTGTGTGTGTGTGTGTATGTGTGTGTGTGTTGTATGAAAGCTGAATTAGGTCCACAATTGCAAACAGAGACACTGAGTGAGTGAGTGACTGGGCTGTGTGGCTGTGTGGCAGGACAGGGCAGGACAGGGCAGGACAAGACAGGAGTGGGGAGAACCTGATGTTATCTGGGATTACACAAGACAAGACCAGGCACTAGGGAACTTTCTCAGAAGTTGGACTGTATTCCTACAGCACCTCCAATGGATAGGAGCAAAGGTAAGTGAGTCCAAGGGGGTTATGAGAGGAGAAGGGGGGGGGTAGACAGATCACCTCTCAGGATGTTGGGAGATCTCCTGGGATGGGGGGTGGATTGTCCTCTGATCATCTCCAAATGGGAAGAAGCCATTGGGTAAGTTTCCTGAGGGCATTGCCAGACACAGCAGCAGATATGGTCAGGTCACTGCGCAAAAAGGCAGAAGGTTTCAGGCAAAAGCTTTTGTGGTTTAAGACGAACATCCCTGGTGTGTGCTGTGTGTGTTGTGTTGTGTGTTTCTCTCTCCCTCCCAATTGCAATCTTTTATTCCCAGATCTTTTGCCTATTCTCTGGGAAGCCAATCTCTCTCTCTCTCTCTCTCTTTGGTTCCCTGAAGAAGTTGTACCAAAAAACAAAAGTAAAACCTTCACTATCCCAACATTGTACAGTGATCACTTGAGTAAGTTTTATTTAACACTGGATTATCTAAAAGGGTCGTGATTTTTACTTTGCCCAAGAATCACAGCCTGTTACATGCCCCCCAGGACCACCCCAGGACCCCCCCCCCCCCCCAGACTGTCCAGAGGGCTGTGGGTTTATAGATGGGGAGGGAGTGAGAGAGAGTGAGAGAGTGGATTGTCGTGGAAGTGACATTGCAAACTTTTATGGGTTCATCTGGTGTTTTTAAGTCAGAAATCTTCAGCCCACGCCCAGTCCAGTGGAAGAAATCAGATCCCTAACAACTAGACATCCCACTAATAATAATAATAATAATAATAATAATCCCTGCGTTTGATACAGCGGCATATCACGTCTTTGAGACGTCTCGAAGCGCTTCACAGGATACACTGTAAGGAGAATGTTCTCAAAGCACCGGGCACTGTGTGTGTGTGTGTTTGCAAATGTTGCTTCTAATCCCGTGCTCCGCCACTCTCAAGCGCTCTGGGACACTACCCTGGACGAGGGGGCCTGAATAAGTGCAAGTTGTTGTCGTCGCTGTTGAATTGACTGCAGATTTTGTGGGCAAAACATTTGGATTTTCAAACTCGTCGTAGTTCAGTGGCAAACAGCTGACGGGTTAGTTCAAGGGCAGCATTTGCGAACTGACCTGCGCGATGCGGGGGAATTGCAATCTCTTCTCTGCTATGAAGAGCGATCGTTGTGTACGTAGCTTCACGAGGACCTGCTCGTTAAACCCCAGTAACTTCGAAAAGGGGTCGTTTCTCAAAGCGCTGCACTATGTGTGTGTGTGTGATTGTAAATGTTGCGTTAATCCCGAAAGTGTTGCGACAGTGTTAAGGAAAAGGTATGTCTTGAAAGAGAAAAAAATAATGTGAGTCATCCAATAATGTGTCATTTACACCTGCTCCACCCTGAGCGCCTGTGTGTGATATATAGCTATACCACTGCTCTCAGTATTGAAGACCCGCTTGTAAAACTGGGGGCCAGTGATGTGGGACCACCAGGGCTGCGGCCAGGAATTGAAATGCTTTTGTAGCCCAAAGTCAACCGAATACTAGCCCAAAAGCAGTCCAATATCACGCGCCGCCTCCTATAATAATGACAATAATCCTTGCGTTCGATATAGCGCCTTATCACGTTGTCGAGGCGTCTCAAAGCCCCTCACAGAATGTTACTGGAAAGTGGGATTGAGGCAGCGTTTTCCAGGTTTAAATTAAAAATGTAAAAATTAAACACGCTGTTTTTTCGCACGCAACGACAACTTGCATTTATGCAGCGGCCCCTCACGCAGGGTAGAGTCCCGGGGAGCTCAGTACAACAAGCACACGCCCAATCGGGCACAAACCCACCCAATTTGGCAGCGTTGGTGTTTCTGCCTGAGGGAGTGCGGTCAGAGAGCAAACACGTTGTCTCTCCAATAGATGCATCGCAGACTCATTTCTGCTCACAGAATAAATACATCACGTTGAGCGAAAGCCATCTGAATCGAGAATTTCCTTTTGTTTCAAGGAGCAGTTGGGTGAATATTTTCCGAAACAATGAGTTACAATAGCAAAAATAATAATAGTCCTGGCATTTGACCCAACACCTTATCACGTCTTCAAGACGTCTCAAAGCGCTGTACAGGACACACTGTAAAGTGAATTGACTGTATATTTTGCGGCAGCCAATTGCGCAGAGCAGAGTCCCCGCAAACAGTCGTGCATTGAGTGACCAAATTATTATTATTATTTTAGAAATACACACATGTTCTTTTGAAGCGATTGTTATTTATTATTCCCCGGAAAAGCGATCCACCAATCAACGAACAACCCAGCTGCTTGATAATAGCACTTGTCGTAATTGTAGAACGTATCCCCCCACCCACCCCAATCTGGAAAGGTTTGGCGTCAGGTGGTTTGAGGACATCTCAAAGCGTTTCACAGAAACTACTGTAAAGTGTTGTAACTGTTTATTCTGTGGGTGAACACGGCAGTCAATGCGTGCACAGCGACGCACCACAAACAACCATGATGTGAATGATTTTTATCCAGTGGACTGTTGGCCCAGCACCTCAGGACAAGCTCCTTTTCTATTTTGAATAGAGTCGTGAGATCTTTTAACAAATATCCCGTGGAGTCCTGTAGCTTAATGGTTAGTGCTTAACTCGCAAGCGAGTGGACCTGGGTTCGGTTCCCGGACAGGGTGAAATGTTGGGCAAGTTTCCTTACTCCCCACGCCTCTGTTTACCTAACAGTAAGCAGGAACCCGTTGTTAGTCGATTGGCGGATCACTTTCCAGGGCTAATAATCCCTTCAAAACAAAAATAACTTGGTCACTTCAATCCACGACTGTTTTTGTGGGACGCCGCTGTGCGCAGTTGGCTGCCGTGTTTTGCCCACAAACTACACAGTCAATTCACTTGACAGTATATTCTGTGAAGCGCTTTGAGACGTCTCAAAGACGCGATAAGGCGCTGTATCAAACGCAAGGATTATTATTATTATTATTATCCACCTGAACACACAAATGGGGCCTTGGGTTTAACAACTCATCTGAACGACGGCGCCACCACTAATGAACCACTTCCCCCGGCACAGCATCTGGAGTGTCGGTCTGTGAGTTCAAAGTCCTGACGTGGGGATTGAGCCCAGGACCTTATTGACTCAGTGGGGCAGAGAGTGCTACAAACTAAACCAGGCTTGACGCACAAGCCTATACGGCTACTGTGGGCACGAGAGGCTGAATGGAGAGGAATGTGTCAGAGATTATAATGATAAGTAACTCATCCAGTTGACAGAAATCTTGCCTGTCAACATGTTGATTGTTTACGGCAGTTTGTTGTGCGGTGTGAGAATGTTGCTCTTGCAGTCGTTTTTATGATTGAGATCCTGTCAACAGAGGATGATGATGCCGCTGCTGTTGTTGTTGTTGTTGTTGTTGCTGCTGCTGCTGTTGTTGTTTTGATGGAACGTGAATGTTGAGCAGTAATTTTGTATTCATTTTTTATCAATATTTAATATCACTCCTTGCATTTGATACAGCGCCCTATCACGCCTTCGAGACGTCTCAAAGCGCTTCTCAGGATACACTGTGAAGTGTAGTGACTGTGTCTTTTGTGGGCGAAACGCGGCAGCCAATGGCGCCCAGCAGCGTCCCCACAAACAGTCGTGGATTGCGTGACCTAATTGTTAACTATTTTTAAAAAAATTTAAGGTAATGCTGACTCAATACTATATCCAGTGTCCAAGATATTGGTTACATTAAATAAAATTGTTCTACGCCCCACCGAGACATTCACAAACAGCAGAGATATTGTTTATTTATTGTCCCATTCCTTAAATCATACTGCCACTTGAATTAAAAGCATAAAGCATGAAATGTGAAAAGGCCCATTTGCTTGGTTTCCCTCCGCTCCCCCACCTTCCTTTCCATAGACCACAAAAAACGTTGTAAAATCCACCCATGTTGTCTTCTGGGGAAAAGTTGTATATAAATATTCCCTGATTCCCAAACCAATACTCAAAAATATTTCACCCATCCCCCTAACCTGGCCTGCTTCCCAACAAAGAAAAATTCCTTCTCCTCCAGACTTGGTGCACACAAACCATTATATCCTGTGGATAACTTCTTCACTTTAGTCTGGATTTATCTCTGTATCATTTACTAGAGATGTTTGGATGAAGAAGGCCCTTCTGCACATTTGATCTTCTCCTTGCATAACACCATTGGACTGTTCCCAACTACACATTTATCCGGGTCGTTTTTGAAGGAACCCGTCAATGCAGCATCAACTAGAAATAAAATAGAAGTCGCTGGGAACGCTCAGCAGGTCAGGCAGCATCTACAGAGAGAGAGAAAGCGAGTTAATCGTTCAGGTCCATGACCTTTCTTCAGAACTTGGGGATGTTGGAAGGGGAGAAGTTTATAAGGACAAACAGAGAATGGGGTGGGAAAAGAAAAACAAAGGAAAAATTAGGTGGAGGACAGGAGATGATGAGATCAGAGGTGTTGAAGGTCAACTAGATTTGTTATGGTTCAGATCTTCTTTATCCATGATTTAGTTCCCCCCTCCCCGTATTCTCTCTATATTGACTAGCTCCTATCATCCATAAGTATTGCTTCATCCTACACTATGTTCTGACCCATACACCCCAGGTTACACATGTAGTGATTTCCAAGTTGTGCTTGTACTGTCTACATATAGTAATGGAAAATCTAGTTCCAGAAAAACTGCTGGTGCTTTGTAACGCTTGAGACGAGAAGAAGTAGGAGTAAGGAAACTTGCCCAATCTTTCGCACCGCCTGGGAATCGCACCCAGGTCCTCTCGCTTGAGAGGCGAGTGCTCCAACCACTGAGCTACAGGGCTCCACCTGTATAGGCGTGAACGCTTGTGAGTCACAACGAGGATCCCAGGGACGACATGTGCTCCCAAAACAAACGTAAACACAGGAATTTGGAACGTTCAGGAGAAATCCAGGTTCTGTAGTATTTTTTCCAAATCTGGCAAAACCTGATTGCAAAGCCAACTGAACACAACTCCTAAAATATAATAGATCGGTGTGAGTCCGGGTGACCTTG